CACTCAGAAACATAGGCAACAAAAAGGATGAGCTCAAAAAATACAGAGGTCCTTGGAAAGGCTGCCAAATAAAACTATCTAAAGCCCACATCCACAAAACTGGATTGTCACTTTGGGCTTGCAAGCATTATTGAACACTGATCTGGCTCCCTGTGCATATTTGCAACCCTACTGGTGTCACTGCAGAGGGCACAAAGTTACATTTAGCCCCTCAGTAGTTTCCCTTGATGTGTGCCCTTGATGTGTGTCACTTAAGGTATTAATCCAAGAGCTTAAAACTGTCTTTCATCCAGTTTGTCTCCAATTTCTAATGGGAAACATGTCCTAGGGTTGCTTTGCCACCACCGCCAGCACCTCAGTCCTAAAATGCCTCCATTCAGACTTTTGATTCCACTTTTGTGTGTGCTAAGTTAGCCCAGCTCTTCTATTGCCTTTCTCAGTTTCAGCAAATCCTTCGTTGGAGCAACATCTCTGGATGGGAGCTGAGCCCAGAGGTTCTCTCCAGTGTAACTGAGTCTAGTTTTGTGGCTCGGCCGGATGGAAGTGTTTTGCAGAAGTTATTTCAAATTTTATCTACTCTTGCCTGTCATCACGATGTCAACTCTCAACTCACATCCCATTTCTGTGCTTAGAAAGGCAGAAGATTGGTTATATGAAACTCATTTTTGATGTATTGAGTGCAGTTGTATTCTAAGGTTACAAAATCAGGTGCTGTCCTATGACTCAAAGCTTCAAGTGAATGTGTTCCTTGGGATGTGAATGCCATCCAAGCAAAGTCTGTTCACTCCTTGTTTCCCTCCATTTCCTTAATATCAGTGACAGGCTGTGTACATCCACATACACAGATGTGTCTTGGTTCATTGTACTGCTGCAGAGGGATACATCTGTATTGAATTAACCATTTGCAGAAGTATTTAGCATTTTATGGTCAATTTGTTCCTAGGAAAATATTGGAAAAGCTCAGTGATCTCAGGGTTTATCTGACACTTAATGAACAGTTGTTTGGACACAGTCATTTTGGCATTTGGAAATGGATGACTCATTTATAATACATTTTTAGGGGCACTTCAGCAGCTTTTTCCCACTTTGCCCCCTTCACTTTTCACAGTTCCTTTTTTTTCCCCTAGACTTCACCCATAGCTACCTATATCCATATTCACCATATGTGTAGTGCTTGGGTTTCAAAGGGTCAATGCTGTTCCATTCTGTGTGGCAAATAAGCTGTTGGTGGCACTTCAGGACTGAATTTAGGGTTTGGTGGCCCTGGAAAGGGGAGAGCTGAGCAAGCCAGTGGGGCTCAGCTCCTCCTGGCATTATTCTGCCACGTGGACTGCAGTACTGTGACTCCTGCTTAAACCCCTGCTAAAAGCCTGTGTTTATTCTGCAGGTAAATTCCTTTTCCAAGTCAACATTTCCCAGATTGCTCTCTGACACCTACTTGTGGTTCTTCCCCATGGAGGCCTTCTGATACGAAAATTCTCTCTGTCAAGGCATACAATTTAGTACGTTCTTTGCGTCAACCCTGAGTATATTGTGTCTTTGCTTTATCTTGTTCTCACATTACTCACTAATAAAGATAGTTCTTATTTTCTATCAGAATTATTTTTCAGGAACACATAGTGTGACAGATCTCTGAGGATTAAATTCCTAGGTGGTGTTCCAAGGTTTCCTGGTTTCCCGGTTCTCTGTTGTAGATAAGGATCAACATGCGAATAAGATTTTTTCTCAGGTCCATGTTAATCTCAGCTCTTGGGCACTGTTTTCTTGCTTTGTGGGGAAAGTGTGAAGTGGGTGAGTACATCCTCCATTATTCACCCAACTATTTCTCTTATCTGGTGTTTTTAGTATCCAGACAGTATAACTGGAGTTTTTTCCTATCTTCATTTCTCTTTTTTGTGGTTTTGTTTTGTTCTGTGGTGTGGGTTCTTGTTTCTGTGTGCAGCTTTTTCTTTTTTTCTCTGTTTGTTTGTTTGTTTGGGGCTTTTTTTGCCAGCTTTTGGTGTTACTATTTATGTAACCTTTACTCTTAACTTTGATCTGATATTTAGGAAGTTTGCTCTATTTTTGCAGGATCCCAAGCATCAGATGTTAGCCTGTACTTATTCCTCTAGTACTGCTTTGTTACACTGATGACCCACAGAGGAAGAATTGCTTTAAATGTGCTGCCCACTAAAGATAAAGATAGCTCTTAATTCACCTTTTTCCAGAGAGACATCTTCAGGCTGTGAAAACTTTTAGGAGAGATATAAAGTATAGAGAGTTTCTCATAAAAGAGAGGCCAAAGGCTGCTTGAACTAAAGCAAAGCAACATGGCATTTCAGTCCCAAAGATTTTTGCCTCTCCTTGCAAAGACCTGAAATGTAGTCAAAGGATGAAACTGAATCTTGAATTTATGGACAGGTGGTTACTTACAACTTGCAGACAAAACTACAGAATACGGCCTTGCTGGTGAAGTTTGAAGATAGCCAAGAAGCATCCCTCTGATGCAAAGTCCAAGAGGGATGGCTTTTTTGCTTCAGGAATGTCTGAGAGTACTTTGGTGCTTCTGTCTTTTTCTGAAGGACAGATAGTTTCTTGTGCTCACCTAAATTGCTTTTTATATCTTTTCAAATTGATATGAATTCATAACCTTAGTCCTTGGGGTCTGTTGCTGATTTGGAGTTGGGACCAGGGTCAGAGGTGGGAGGATAGAGAAATTTTATTTGAGTGGAATTCATTTCACCACAAAGTGCTATCAAATTATTTATCAAGTGTCACACATATGAAGGGAAAAGAACTGCAGTGTTTCAGGGATCTGGCAATATCTAAGAGGGTGACAGAAAGGTAATAAATTTTACAGGGAGCTAAACTATTACAGAATCCTGTCTACTGCCTCTGTTAAGATCCATTCTAAAGGCATTACATCAGCTTAAATAGAGGGAGTACTTGCTCACATCCCCTGCTGAGTCTAGAAAGTTAAATGGTCAGCAGAGGCAGGGGACAGATAAAAATTATTTGCTTCTTTGAATTCCACCAACCTTCATCTGTGAAGTTATCTTAACCCATAAGATAACTTCAGTTATCTTTAAAGTTGTAAAAACTTTAAAAAGTCAGTATGTGACAGTAGTGTCTAGTAATTTAAGTAAAAAAAGAAGAAGAGGATCTACTCTTTGACATAATAAAATTCACATACCAGGCAGTTTTTATTCTTTGATCCATAAAAGTCAGGTATTCAAAGTACAGCTTCATTGTCTGCCTCATTAGCTAAAATGGAGCCTAAATTGAAAGGGAAACAAAGTGTTTGTGTGTTTTGGTACATTTTTTAACATAGATAATCTATTCAAGGGAAAACAACCAAGCAGACTGCTTTTGGAGAGTGATGTCTGAAAGGAATAGCACTCACATCCCAAGACTTCTGTTTTATAATCATACCCCCCCCTTGAATACTAAATATGTAGCTAATTGTGATAATAAAAATAAATAATTGTCTAAGAATTTACATTGTTACAATATAAATAATAAGATTATGGCCCTAAAATTCAGTTGAGATCCAGATTCTGTAGAGTCTATTTTTAATAATGTTTGTTATGTCTTTTGAATCCAGTTTTGTCCTCATTAGGGAACCAGAGGTGCTGTCACATAGGATTTCTTGAGGAAGGGATATCCAGTGTCAGTTCCACAGCAGCAAAAGTAAAAAACGAGCACAGGCAGGTCAAAGCAGAGACACCTGGGCGAGGTGGGGCTGAAGTAGCTGCATGAGATCACCTCACTGCAAGACAGTATATTTTGCTTCTCAGCAGAGTTGTGTAGCCAGGAGCAGGTAAAAGTAGCTCTGAATAGGCCTGCAGTGAGCCATGAGCATGTTTGTTATTATTGCAAGGTAATAAGAGCCCTTTTCTGGTTTCCTCTGCTGTGTTGATGTAGGATTCACTTAGTCTTGGCAGTCTGTAAGATATTGAAACAAGAATATTGTTTTAGCTAAAATAATGGTTTAAGATCACAAATTTTTGGAGACCAGTGGTGACAAATTTAAAACTTCGAAAGAATTGTTTGTATTCTTCCCCCTCTCCTCTACTGGCTTTGTAAGTAATTTTAAAACAATTTCCATTTTCTTTTCTTATATAGCTGGTCACTCATGCAGGATTCAGGATTCTGTGTGGAGCACTTTTTATTTGCACTTGATTTTATCTGACTTGTATCTGACTTTTTATACTTTCTTTAACTTTTGGAATAGGATTACTTGTACAACGACAGAGAAAGGCAGTCCAGATTCTGAAAGGGGCCTGTGGGTACTACTCTCCTGTGAACTGAAATAATTCTGGTTTGTACTGAGAATGCTTACTTATTTGTCAAGCTTCCAGGAGAGAGGTGGCAGAGGCAAATGCTCTGACTGCTAAACTTCAGCTGGGTGCTATTCATCAGGATCATGTCATGCTAAGAACTGCTGCAGAGCTCACTCTTGAGGTGACTCCTATACCCATTATTTCCAAAACCAGCGCTGTCATCATTTCTGTCTGGACCATACGCATGGCAAAGAATAACTAAGGTGTGTGTCAGCTGTCAGAAGACTTTAAAGCATATCTCTAAAATGTGCTTAAAGAAGAAAACTTTAAGATGTTTCAGACTTGCACTGGCTGTGTTTATATATCTGCATGCCAGATTTTGCCCACAATAGACAGCGACTTAGAAACCGCCTATTTGAAGCCTAAAAGGCAAAAGAGAAATCTCCAGCAGAAGTGACTGAAGTCCCCACCAGGTTTTATTTCCAAGTGCCTGGAATGTGCTGATGGAATGTGCTCTTCCTCAGAGGGAATCTGAAAGGCAGTTACCTGTTTTATAGACCAGTGTGAGGTAACCCTGCCATGTTCAGCAGGTGTGGTGTCTGAAAGTAAAGACCCCTTACTGTGATACCTGGTTAGTCACTGTACATTTAACCAGCAATCTGTAGGGTGCTTGCATAACTACTTGTGCTTATCTTTAATGGGAGGAATGACAGCTCTATTCCTTCTCACTCTTATCTGTTACCTCTGTGTAAACCTAATATGTAGAAATAAGCTAAGTTAGGAATGGAGGTGAAAAAGTTCAGAAGTTCTTCCAAAATGCTTTTTTCCCCCTCTCAATCTATTTTTTTGAAAACTCTTTTTCCTGGAGAGAGGCTGATGTGCATTGTCAGTAAAATTCCACCTCTCAGCGTTGAACAGGAACATGGAGGAGGCTCGTCTGTCATGTCCCCCAAACATCACAGTGAAGAGATGATGTACTCTTGCCTTGGCCATCAAAGGGAAGGGATGCTTTTCATGCTGTGTAACTCATGGGCAGCTGACAAGGTTAAAAACATGGTTTCAAATCTGCCAAGTTATATTACAGGTTCGATACTCACTTTAAACTTTTAATCCAGAGTTTTCAGGAAGTTTCTTGGGTAACTTTGCTGTGAAAATCCTTCAGACTCGTTACACACTCTGGCAGCTTGAGTGAGACACTATCACTTGAGGTCATGAGTACATTAGGCAGAGAAATGAGGGGCTCTGTATATACATATTTTGGTCTATGTTTACTCTGTGGAGAGGTTTGCTTTCTGTTCTATAAGTGTTCTTTTGATCAGTCTCAGCTGCATTTTCTTGTAAAGTATAAAGATCAGAAAGCTGACTCGTACTTGGATTCTTTGTTGGAATGAGATTATCCAGGTTGTTTCAGAATTTCCAGAGATTAGACAGATTCCATTTGTTTCTTCTCAGAACAGATGGTGGAGTAGAATTTGAATCATTGAAGTGATAGTGGGAGAGAAGTTACAGTGGAAGAAAAAAGGGAATTTAAGTGAAACTTTTCACACTTTCCCTTTTTTTGCTGATTCCCAGCTTTTGTTTTTATGTGAAGAGTTTAATAGATCCAGCTTTCAGATTTGTCTCCATTGTTCAGTGAACTATAAAATCAGATGGATACAATCTAGAATATTCTGTACTTTTACCAGATACTAAATGGATACTCATAAAGAGTTAGACTTTCACCTCATGAGTAGAGTTCAGATCTATTTTAGTGGGCTGTTTCCTTCTCCATTCCCTGAAGTGACAGAGCTAAAATCAGGATTAATTCTCCCACTCTTTAAAATGAGAGGGATGGATGGATGAATTTAGCACGGAGTCTGAAGAAGGCACATCAAAGTCACCATCACTACCAAAACTGAAGCCCTGGATAAGAACTCAGTCTATTTCTAGATCATCCCTTTAAATTATTTCTGTGCAGATATATTTTATTTATGCTTCTGTATTGTCTGCAGTTGTAGGATCACAGACCAGGCTAACTCAAGGAAATAGCTGGCACAGGGCAGTGACAGAGATGGGGGACTGCACTCTGGATACCAACAGAAAAGGCAAAATTGAACCCTAAGTTGCTCTCTGTTTGGTTTGGTTTATTTTTATCAGTGCCTCTTGTACATGGCACAGATGATTGTGACAGAATACATGAGTTAGTGTGCCTTGAGTCTCTGTGCCTGCAGCTCTCTCACTGACACCAACAAAATCCCAGAAATGCCTTGCTGCAGATGAGATGAATGAGAGATTTCCCCACTCCCCACACTGAGAGGCAGTCAGTGCAGTGAAGGTTTTATTATTGGTTTCTGCAATTTCTGTTATATTGAATGGCTCCTCTTAGTGCTCCATGCACAGAGCTGAGAGGGCTGAGAGCTCACATGCCCTGGGCAGGGGTCTAAAAGCTTCCACAGGCTTCGCTCAACACCTTGTGGGTGGGCTATGTAGGCTGACCAGACCTTCACTGCATGTTTGATGTGTTCTTCCTTTTCTGCTCATGTCTCAGTTTGTTCTCTCTGCTGTTATGTGTCCAACCTCAGTACCTTAGGCTTCTGCTGCATGTCACCTCACCCCTGCAAGGGTCTCTGAGAAGCTGGGATACTTGAGGCATTGGATACAAGGTTAGGGCTTCACTCTATTGGAGTTTTTATCTTTCTTTACTTGGTCTGTCTTGACTTCCATCTGTGCTTTAAACTCTGCTTCTGGGTCACTTAAGTGGTGCTCGGGTTGTTAATTAAACTTGTCAAACTATTCTGTGGGGTAAGAGGTCTACACTTGGTTAAAAAAAAAAACAACTATAAGCTTCCAGGGACAGATTCAGCAAAGTACTTACAGAAAGTGCCTAAATGGAGAGATGTGAATAGCCCTACAGACTTCAGTGGGATTATGGATGCAATTAAAATGATACCTGTGACAAAATACCTGGCTGCACTCAAGTCCAGTGAGGGGTTTCTCAGAGCTTCACCTGCCTTTCTGCAGCCCCAAGCCCTGGGTGGTTTCCAGGGGCTCATCTGCAGCCCCTGCGTGGTGCAAATGCTGACAGCCATGCGGTGCCATTGGCCTCCCCAGCAGCCAAATTTCACTCCAGAAATCCCAGGTCTGGGCAGGGAAGCAGGCAGAGGTGAGAGCACGGCTCTGCACGTGTCTCTCCCCTTTTCCTGGTGCATGAGCAGCGCTGCCAGAGCCGCTGGCTCTGTGGCCTGTGATGTGCTGGCAGATGCAGCCACGGGGCTTCAGGTCCCAGTTAGCCATGCCCGTCCCTTCCCACTCTTCCCAGTGATTTTCTGGCAGGGAAGAAAAGCTAGTTAGATTAGTAAATGTTTAGGCAGCATTCACTGTAGCTTCAGGAAACATGGTTGTGGTCAGTTTTATCTCAGTGCCATCCAGTACATGAAACAGCATAAAGAAAGAAGGGCAGAAATGCGGGATCATAAGAGGAAATTGTAGTAACACAAAAAAACGGCGGAATTCAGAGAAGGACTATAATAGTAGTATAGGAACATAAAAATAAAGGTGTCACAGTTCATCACTGTGGGGATAAAAGGCGAAATTCTGTCGTTTAACCCATTGCATACTGCTCACATCATTTTCCACCCCTCAGATGCTTCAAATTGCTTTTCAACCTCTTTTCAAGCACTTCTAATGATAAAACATCAATTACAAGGCTGTTGTCACTTTGCCTTTATATTTAAACTTTCTGACTGCATTTTTGAAATGTTTCAGCATAACACTGTCACCTAAAATACCCACAGTGCATTCAGCTGTAGGTGTTTGTGGGTTACTGTAAATGTCTCTGCACATATAGGCGTAAATAGCTCTCTTTTAATTCCCTAATTCAGAAACCACTGCCTCCTCCTCCCTCTGTCTCTGGTCTCTCTGATTCCACACAGCCTCATTAGTAACTAACCTTTAAATGCTCCCCCCATCCCTCCAGGTCCAGGCCACTCTCCACTAAAAGAGACAGAGCATACAATTTGAAGCTTTTTGCGAGAGATGAAATTATATCCTCAACTCCCCTAGGTTTCATTTCCCCTTAGGAAACAAAACAGCCTGAAGACACTGGTGTCACCAGGGGTCTTGCTGTGGGCAGTGGAGGCATCTCAGGTGCCTGTGGACTGTCAATGGCAATCCGAGATGGTTCTTTAGGGGACCCAGGGCTTGGCTTTGCCACTGAACAGCTCAGGACTGCTGAGTGTCCTGTCTGCTCCTCTGTTCAGAGCCGGGAATCATCTCTGAGGATCTGAGACCCCCATTGCACAGGCATTTCCTCAACGTCTAAGGCAAGAACTTAGTCCTACTTGATATTTTTTAAATCAATATTTCATTAAGCAATGCTTTTATGGCGTTTCAGTATTCATCTACAGTAATTAATATAAGCCTTTTATCTGTGTAAATCAAAACACTTTGGGAAAGCTGAAGTGCATGAAAACTCTGTATTAAAGATGAAGAAATATGACTCATGCAGAGGGATTATGTACTTTGCCCAATTGCCCGGCCAATTAACAGTTTAATTCTTAATCCAGTTCCATATCCACAGGGCCACGTTGCCAGATTTTATCTCCTAAATGTAAAATATTCTACATCTGAAAAAACCTAATCAAGTTAATGTCACAGTCACTTTGCAATTCAAATAATACTCTATTTTATTGCATTTAATGAAAAAAAAAAAGTGTTTGATAAGGGTGTTTTCTGAAATGTCTGTATTTCAACCTAGTCCAAGATTTTCATTTAATGACATGTTTAACACTCAACTGTTAAGCAACATGTTTAATTTTCCTTATTTTAATGTTTCACTCTGGTTTGTCTGCACATGCAACTGGGAGAGAAATCACAGACAAACCTTATTTCTAAGGTGTTTCATCACCAAAACTTAGGTGAAGAATACAAGTGGAAAGAAGTGTTTACACAAAATTGATGTTCTCTGGTTTCCCTGTGCTTTTATTTTTTTTCCAAGGGGCTAGCAGCTTTCCATTTCACGGCAGGAAAACAACTAAACCAGAGGGACTTCACCTACACAAATGCATTTTGTGAGATAATTATTCAACTGACATTACAGAGCTTAAAACTCTCAGACTTCATGGTCTCTGAAGACTGAATTCATTATATCTTAAACAAGACAAGATTCTCCTTTGGGAATTTTCTGTCTGTCTGTTTTTCTTATATATATATAGTTTATCTGCTTAGGAATGGGGCAAGGAGAATAGATCAGCTCAAATTTGTGGATACTTTTGACTTTTTTTTTTCCCCTAAAAATAAAAAAAGAAAAAAGTTGCTTGTTATTAGAAACATAACCTACTTCTCCTTATTTAGGCAGGCACATGCTTCTCTCCTCAGCTGAGACACAAGGCCCTATTCTTAGCTTCACTTTCATTTACACTGTGCCTTGAGGCAAGATGCACAGGATATAACAGCTCTGCAGTTAGGACTGGTTTAAACTATGCAAAATCAGAGCCCTCTCTAACATTACAGGCAATTTTAAGGGTATGTGAAAGGATGTTAGAAACCCTATCCAAGGATATGTAACCTTGAGAAGCAAGAAAGGAACATTAAAAATATTTGGAAATATTTGAATGCAGTCACTCAGAAGGGAATGGAACCAGCCTGCTGCTTCATCCTCATGGCAGCTGAGAACCAGGAAATGTCTGCAGTCAAGGGTTGGCTCCCCAGGGGATGAAGCTTACTCAGTTTCACTGATGTTCATTTGCACAAATTGACAAGCTGGACAGATTGGAGAAATTGACATACTCAGGGCATTCACCTGTGATGGATGCACTCAGCCTCCTCAACCAAACTAGCAGCAGTCTGGTGCAAACTCCAGAGGAGGTAAAAACTGGTCATAGGCAAGGCAGAATCTCCCCAGGGAAGCCACAAAGGGCAGAGTGACCCAGGGAGCATAGGTGCACGTGGACTTGGAGCACCAAGCATGCTGTTAATGCAGGGAGAGCAGGTGGGTTTGCCAAGACTCATGAGTGTGGGTACGGGGAGTCTCATGCTTGCCTTTCTCGTTGTATGCACTTGAAGTGGGAGCCAACTGCTTTATCCCTTAAATAGAGCAGCCTAATTGAGCTCTCCCTGCTAGGCAGTGTGGCTGCATAAGTGTGATCTCCACTGGAGCTGGAATGCCTCTCTAAGTCTGAGATTCTTTACCTGAGATCAAGACATCCTTCCTTACCCCAGGCAGAGAGATACCTTCTTTGCAACACATCCTCTGTAAGTAGCTAATAGCATGCTAAATTAGTTCTAATGAAATCATGTAATGGATGCCTTTGCAAAGAAATTGATTCCTTTGATACAAACAATTGTCCAAGTCTGAGACTAAGATTGGCCCTAGGTGCAGCTAGGCTTCATCACGAGTTTAGAAAGCCAGGGATTCACTCTGAGCCTTGTGACTCAAGGGGAGAACCTCCCATACCTCCCATGGTAGATGTTTGGTCTCTGTCACTCTAAATGGATTCTGACTTGATTTACCTTTGTATGCTTCATCCATGAGGTAGATAATAGAGTGAACCTTGACATTAGGTTTGTTAATGCACATTTTAAAAAAGAGCTTTTATATCTATTTTTGCCAATATCTTTGATGGTGATTCCTTTAGTGACCCTAAAGCATTCATTTGTGACATCACCGCTTGTTATTTCTCCACTGTTTCTTCAGCACTACCTATTATCCCTTTCTTTAAGATCTGCACCTTACCTAGCCCTCCTGTGTCTGTACCTGGATGAAAGGAAAGCAGACTAAAAACTGTCCTTGGAATATGGCCTTCATTATCCCAAATTAGTTCACAAACGTCATAGAGTATTTGGTAAGAGTCAATCTTCCCGATAAAAATTCAACCCACAAGGTGTTAAGCAGAAGAAACAGTATGGAGACAGTTCTTATTCAAATCCTGAAAGGCATGTGCCAGCTTGGCTGGCCATGGCTTTGCAGTCCATCCCACAATATCCAAACCAGGAGTTTGCTTCTGCAGAAACGTAGCTGCTTACTGGCTGTGTTTGTGCTCCTGGGAGGCAATGTCCAGGGAGCTGTGGCCTGGGATATGTGCAGGAGACACAGGGCCCCGCTGTGGCAAGGCCGGGCTGTGCTGTGGAGGTGCCATCTGCTCCACCCAACACCACAGCAGGCATCCATCCACTTTGGAAGCTGCGTGTGTCTGCCTAGCCCAAAATGGGTAGCAAGATCCCTCTCCCTCCTCATGAACTTCTTGAAGCTTCCCCTGAAGCCCCTGAGCAGAGGAGCAGCTCCTCCAGGTGTCTTGAGGGGGTCTCACCCCATTTTGAGGGGAAGACAAGAAGTGAGAGGAAATTATTTATTTCTCTTTCTCCCTCACCACCTCTCTAAGTATGCTGGGGAGGGCATGGATGGACTGGCATCACTCCTCTCAGGCACAGCTGCTGCAGAGTTTGGCACCAGGCTGAGAGCAGTGGCCATGGCTTGAAATACTGACACTGGTGCCAGCAGCAGCTATTCTGGCTCCTAGTTTAGGGATTTTGAAATCATCTCCCCCAGGTGAGGAATCTGGCAAAAAAAAAAAAAAAAAGGCCTTCAAATGACAGGCATTTGCATTTTGAGTGTTGGGTGTGTAAAGAGTTAGAGGGGACTTGGTCTGTGACCATGTATATCAGAGGCCTGATTAAGCCAGTTACTGCAGGGGCAGGTGTTTCTGTGAGGAAAGACTCTGGCTTCAAATCAGTATCCATGACTGTTACTGAGAGTGAAGATAAAGCATCAATTTCATCACCACAACAAGGTTTTCAGCAGTTAGAGCCACTGGCATGTCTTGCAGCTGGTGCTGCAGCAAAACTGCCAGAGATCTGGACATTTCCCTCCTCTGGGTAACAATGATAGATAAAGGTGTAACTTCATAACTGACCAGGTGGGGATTTATATGCTCGCTGGTCTTTGTTCACCATGTTTCCTTGCACAGCACAGAGTAGTCATCTGTTCTCTGCTTGCTTGTTCCCTTGTTATACCTGAAGATCTGTCAATGCCATGCAAATAACTCTGCAGTAAAAAGAAGCAAACAGAACCAGTTCCATTTCTGCTGCCAGGGCATATGCACAGAGCCTGGAGCACCTGCTTGGGCCAAGTTGGTGACGTGACACTGCTGTGTGATGGCAAAGACATTGTCAGACCTTCCTTCCCCCAGACTTCATTCCTTCACCTCTTACTGAAAACCTGTCTGCTGTGGTGTTTCATGTTTATTAAGTAGCTCTCCCCTTCTATGTTAGCTCAGTGCCAAGATGCTGAATGGTTGGAGGACCTGTTCCACTAGAAATTTATTGTTTGGGATATTCTCTGACAGATCAGATAAACTAAAAGACCCTTTGGTAGCATGGGTGCAGAGTCAAAGCTGAGGATGTCAGGTGAGCTGGTATTGATGTACATCACAGCTATTTTTGTAGTTTGGTGGTTCCAGAGTTTTGCTTGCTAAAAATAGCTGTGCTGCTGTAGAAATGCAGTCTTCAGGAAGTAATTTTATAAAGCATTACAGTGGCTCTGCTCTGAAAAACAACCCAGGAAAAAGTGTGGTATAGGGGTCTGTATTTATTGCTTTTCATAACTGGTTGGGATCCATACATGAATCCATGTCTTCTGCATCATTCTGCACTGTCCCTGGTAAGGGAAATGTGAAAGCTCATGAGATAGGGAAAACCTTTTTCTCCTTCTCTTGCTCTCAATGGTATCAGTTTTATGCAACAAGAAAGCAAAAGGTAGCAAAAATCTATTTCAGTCGCCTGAAATCAGCAAAAGTGAGAATTCACAGAGTGAGCAGGTTGGTTATGTGAGAAGGTGCTACATGTGCAGTCAGTTTTCAATGTGGAATTTCACCATAATTTCTCACTCACATGAGAACACATGACGATTGGGAAGAAAGACATGCATTTTCTCCCCCAGGAGTAGCAGCTGCCCAGACACAGGATGGTGACTGCCAAGGACCTGACTGCTGGTCTCTGGTGTCTTTTAGGTAAGGACCATTACTGCTGGCTCACCCTCCCAACTGGAACTCCGTCCCCAGACTCGGCTGGCCAGATGTGGTCTCTGGTACGAGCATTCCCTGAAAGCTGTGAGTGAGATGCCGCCAGAACAGTGCAACATATTCCCCATCATGACCCATCCCTGCATGCCCCTGATCAGTGAGAAGGCCCTCCATCTCCCCTGCATGTTTTGTCTCAAATATGAATTTGTTTGCATGATGGAACTCCTCAGTTTTCAAGGAAGGAAGCTCCAAGACAGTCTTTGCGAATTTGGGGCAGCCAGAAAGAGTGGAAGGGGTCAGTCTTGGGTTAGAGCAGCTGTAATTAGCCTGAATCAGAAGCTGAAAAATAAGACAGAAATGCATTTAATGGCAACCTCTGTTTTTCAGTGGTCACTCTGCCTCCAAAACACGCGTGATCTGCAGGCAGAGGTGGAGATGTGGCATCAGTGCTGGGTTCACCCTCTGAGCCACCAATACCCTGCTCAGGCCTTGGGGAGCAGTCCCCAGCCCAACCTCAGCGATGAGGGCTCCCTCCTCTCTCCTGCTCACAACTGAGGTGTCATTTCCCCTGCTCACATCCATTCTGCAGCAGTGGTGATCCCTGGGGAGCACAAATGTATCACTGTTTCCACAGAGCCATAGGACGCTCCAGGAAAAAAGAAATCATAGGCTGGTGCCCTGGGAAAAATTTCCAAATCAGACTTCAAAGCTGGATTGGGTAGGGCTGCTGGCAATGACAACTGCAAAAAATAAAACCTGTTCTTTTTGCCTGTATGTGTAGCTCAGAGTGCTGCCTCTTGGATAGTAATTATATTCATCCAAGTTATTTTACTATTCCTCAGGAAAAAAAAATTAATATTCCTTAAAAATATGTTTTGTATGCTAATCTGGCAATGTGGCTTTCCTGAAAAGAAGCAGTTAGCTCCAATTTCTTTTGAGGAATGGATTGTAAAATGGTTGTAGGATTTTTTCCCCCTGATAATCAAGCTAAGTGGTCAAAAAATAAGTCAGTCCTTGGAATTAGTTATTGGAATTACTCTTGACTTTACATTTTATTAGACCTAATTAAATATTCATATTAGATAATTCTTAATTGTCATTTTGTCATAATTAAAAAAGTTAAGGTTTATTAAGTGATTTTTTATTAACTGTCTATGCAAATGCTTCTGTCAAAACTTAATTGTTATTTTGCTTGTGGTTTATTTAAGGCATCTCTATAGTGCTGAATATTGCATCTGAACTGACCAGTCTTTATATTTCTTCTTATCATTCTTCATAGAACCATGGGATGGTTGGAAGGGACCTTAAAGATCACTTTGTTCCAGCTCCTCTGCCATGGATGGGAGCACCTCACACTTGACCAGGTTGCTCACAGCCCCATCCAGCCTGGCCTTGAACACTGACAGGGATGGGGCATCCACAGCTTCTCTGGCTGTCCTGTACCAGTGCCCTGCCACCCTCACAGTACAGAATTCCTTCTTAATACCTAACCTAGATTTCCCCCCTTTCAGTTTGTAGCCATTACAGTTCCTGATGAAGGGTCCCTCTCCAGCTTCCCTGCAGGCACCTTCAGATCCTGCAAGGCTGCCAGGAGGTCTCCACACAACCTTCCCTTCTCCAGGCTGGACATTCCCAACTGTCTCAGCCTGGCATTGTAGGGAATGTGCTCCAGTCTTCTTATAAAGTCTGTGGACCTTGGGTTGCTCCAACAGGTCCCTGTCCTTGTGTTGGGACCCCAGGCTGGACACAGCCCTGCAGTGGGGTCCCACCAGAGCAGGGCAGAGCAGAGCAGAGGGGCAGAATCCCCTCCCTCACCCTGCTGGCCACGCTGCTTTTGGCACAGCCCAGGACATGTCTGGTTTTCGAGCTCTGTGTCTGGGCTGTCCCACAGGCCGTCATCCACCAGCTGCCCCAAGTCCTTGTCTGCAGGGCTGCTCTCAGGTGCTTCTCCACCTGGTCTGTAGGTGTTCCTGGGACTGCCAGGTGCTGTTATGCCTTGATAATGAGCCTGGTGAGGAAGCCTGGCAAAGATGGCATAAACGGATCATGTACGTATTGTCAACACTAAAGCTGAGAATTAGCTAATTATACTTCTTCTCCTTTGCTAAAAATTGCTGTAAATTTTTTCCTTTGTCCTGGACAATAGTTGGTATTCTTCTTAAAAACAGGGCTAGCTGAACTCAGAATGGGATCACTTTGTGAAGAAATAGAGTATAGGGTGTTTTTGAGAGGATATCCTACAAAATTTTAAGCATTCTTTAGCTTGATAGAAAAGTGAAAGGCTGCATAATTTGTAGTACTATATTGACCATGCTCTACTTCTGCTTCATTCATAAGTACCTATATTCAATGTGGTTTTCAAGCAGAAACAAACCTTTTTATGAGTGAGATCTCATTGGATGAGCAGCCAAATTAAGCTTGGAGTTGTCGGACCAAAAACAATTACTTTTTTGAAGGAAGCTGAGGAAAATGTGCCACCTATTGCCATTGAGCCTCTTGACACCAGTTTAGATTTCAAGCTGACTATCCACTCAGCATGAGATATATTTGCTTAAAATTAAACATGCCAAGAATCAGACTTCAAGGGGAAACAAGGCGAGTTTGTTGTTTCCACACTGGAAATCTCTATGTCTGCATCAGTGAATTTTGGCTCCCTATTTTGCCTACTTAAATTAATTGCTAACCATGCTAAAATAGAGCAATTAGGGCCTGAAAGCTCTGATGCAGTGGTTCTTGGTGAGGGAACTGGGGAGTGGAACAGGGGAGGGAAGGGTAACTAGCGGCAAACCAGCCTTTATCAGGGCTAGAAAAATAACAAGAATGCAAGAGAGCTTGGGAAAATTTCAGTGAACAGACTGTTGGGCTCGGATACAAAAGTTTTCTGTGTGAAAACCTGGGATTATGCAGTGGGATGAGGGAGACGAGCCTTGCCCCAGCACGTCTCTCGCAGCTGCGATGGGCGCTGCAGCCGAGAGGTATCTGCCAGGATGGTATCTGTCATGTCTGTGTTTACAACAGCATTAGAAACACCCATTTCAGGGGTCTGCAAATCAACTGGAAAAATTGGCTCAGATCAGGAGCCTGGCTGACAAAGCTATGGTCTTAAAGCAATTGTAAAAAAACCCCAGATCATCTGCTTTTCCAATCACAGCAGGAGAGCAAACAAGTGGCCCTATTTTCTCTTTGGTTTTTTTTAGGGTTTTTTTAAAAATATTTCCCTAGTTGTGGTTGCATAACACAGGATATTTTTTATATTTTAAATTAAACCATTGGTTGTTGTTAACTAAAATTTGAGATGTGTGAGAAAGAAGTGTGAATGTATTTAGTAAAAAATATACTGATTAATACTACAGTGTAAGCTTTTATAAATGCGGAGCTATATTTTGATGTTGTAGCCAGATTGCAATATAGTATCAAGGTCAACATAATTTGAAAACATCCAAATAGATTTGGAGCAGGAATTAGTGGGTGAAGCAATATTCCCAGGGTGTTTGGAAGATCACGCTATATTTAATGATGGTCTCTCTGGCCTTTAAATGCACATTATCTGAAGTTTGCCTTCCCTTGCAGGGAGGCCCAGCATCCCTGCATCACCGAAGGGGCTGGATGTGCCCCTCAGGCAGTCCATATCACTGGCGTTATCTTTCCCTGAGCATGCAGTGGGCTGGGCAGTGAGGTGGGATCAGTATGGAGTGCTGGCATTACAGCTCCTGCTGTACATCACTGCATTACTGCACCTGGGGCAAATGCCCCTATCAATATGCACTTGTTTTTCAGCACAACAGATATCTGTAACTGGATTGTTTGTGGACAAGGAATCTCTTTGTTCGTGTAAATTCTCTGTGTGAGAGCTCAGGTGGGCTCGGGTGGGATGTGTGAATTCCAGCAGGGTCTCATGGCTCAAGTTGCTGAGTGCCTGCAGGTGGGTGTACTTGCAGGTGAGGTCTCCTGGCAGTCTGCAGGTCACTCAGCTCTTTGGTTGGCTTTGTTCAGTTTGGTTGCCTTTGGCAGAGTGGAACTCCAGGAGGCTGCCGCTTGTGCTGTAGCAATAGTAAGAAAGTTTCAGAGGGCCACTCATCTGTGAACTCAGCATAACTTGTGCCATTACCAACAGCGGTAAAATCTGGGACCTTGGAACAAAGCCAGCTGTTTCTCCCCGATGTTGGCTGAGGCCTGCTCGTACAGGGAGAAGAATGGCAGCATCAAATGAGCAGGATTATTGAGGGGAAAAAACATAGCAACGGCACAGCCTTGTCACTTAGTAACAAGGTAGAATTATGATGACAAAGGAGGGAACATATATAAATAAAATATTCAGGAATATACATATTCATTAAAATGATACTCAGAAAACAGAAAGAAGGGCAATAGCCAAGCATCTAAAAATGTTCTTTAATGAAAAAGAATTTTAAATATCTGTCTCTGCTGCTCAGAGCTCTGTGATATTACCTTCCCACATGACAATGTGCTATTTCAGGTTCTCCTGGTTTCCTTCCCCCATCTCCTCACCTCAAGTACATGAGAAGTCTGACAGATGAGCTTGAAAGTGTTGCTTTTTTGTTCCCAGACATGTGTTGCTGGTTTATTATCCTTACTGTGTCTATGTGAATAATGTTCTTTATGTGTCGCCATGCCCAGTGCTGATGAATACACAGTGATATATTTCAGCTCTGAACAGCACCCCAATTAATTTGCCTGCTCTAAGAGGCAAATTTGCTGTGGGACCAAGAGCATATTCCTCATTGTTTTGATTGCTTTCCTTACCTCCTGGATCAGGTGAAGAGCGGGAGATGAAAAAGCAATGCTAGTAACCAAATAAAACTCCTGTCCTTTCCACACCTCTACACTCAAATTTATTTATGTCATCTTTAATTCAGGAAAAATAAAAAAGCCAACTAAGAAAAACCAAACCCAAAATCAAAGCCTCAATAACCAAAAATTCAAACCACTTTCACAGAAGGAAAAGTGAGACCGTGAAAGCTGTTGCAAAACAAGGTTTTGTGTTATTAGATGTTGTTCTTCTGCCTGGAATATTTAATCAAATGCCCAAGTCTGTTCCCACACAAAGTGAAAGATTAATCATTATC